CTCCCCACCTTGGTACACCCACCCGTCTCTGCCCGCAGTGACATTTTAAGAGCTTGCTCTGGCTTTATCTCTTCTTTGTAATTTCCCTACCTATTCTCCTCCATGTACATTCCAGGCTGAAAAGATTTTCTCTGTACCAGCAGATACTACTAATATAATATAATATAATATAATATAATATAATATAATATAATATAATATAATATAATATAATATAAACATATACATGCATTGAAGTGTTGTTCTTCTTGCATGGTATATTTATTTAGCTGTCTCCTTACTTAAGAACTTTCAAGGAATTGGGAATGTTTTTCCTGTATCATTGGATCTGTAATTCCACATGATTCCATATGAATGCCTTGGCAAATTGATAAGTTAATTTTTTCAGAATTCCCCAATGTTCATGTATTGCTTTTAGGTTCCAAGGAGTTGTCATTTGCACCAGAATAAAACATTGGTTGCTGTGACATTCTAGAAAACTGGGAGTTCCATGTCATCACTCTAATGAATTAAAAAAGATTCGAAGCTTCATAAATAGAGCCAGAGGTATATTGGTTTCTGTGACCTCATTATTTTCTCCTGGAACAGTGAAAACAGCACTGCCTGCCTCTTCCTGACCTCAGATGACGGTAAAGCAGAGAAGCCGTTAAGGTATTGTGACTACATGCAGGAATCGAGGTGCACAGCACTGGACAAAGCAGACGATGGCGTGGGTAGACGCTGAGCCAGGGAAGTGCCAGGCTGCAGGCATTGGAGCCTGACATGTGATGCGAAGTGACAGCAGCAGAAAACAAGACAGAGCACGAAGAAGGAGGCTGTGGCGTGCTCTCACCCTGGCTGCGTCCCAGCCCCACTGAACACTCCCCGTGGGCCGCGAAGAGATACATGTTATGCTCTGAGCCTTGGATTCTCTTCAGAAAATTCCTACAGGGATATCTGACATGTGGGGTGGTTCTGGTAATGCGATAACGAATGTCAAGTTCTCAACATGTTACGAAGAGAGACACTACTATTCTCAACCATGGACGTTGAGGTTTGTCCGTAAGTGGAAATCAGCTCAAAAACTGAATGATAGTAAGAGATAGTATCAATAAAAACTGCTGTGTATTCAGCACTGTTACATGTTCTTCCTATCAGCTCAGTTCTCATGAAAAGTCTGAGTACCATAACCATCATTATTTTTATTAGCAGCATCCCTGCTATCTGATGAAAACAGAGTGTACAAATAGAATAAATAACTTATTCCCAGTATCTAGGACAGGGCCTAACACATAAAATCGGTCACTGAATTGAATTGATCACAGCTGAATTAGAACGAAACCGCAGTGTTCGCCCATCAGTGGAGGCAGAAAGGGCCGTCCAGCCCCACTAAACCTGTGAGTCCCTAGACCAGCCAGAGGCAGTGGCTCAGTCCCTGTGGAAAAGTCATGAGCTTGAAATCAGGAAGGTGCTGACTGAATCCAGAACACCATAACAGTACGATTTTCGCCGGGCTATCAAGTCTGTGAATGAGTCACTGGTGTCCACTTCGAGGGGACATGAATTCTTGACTGTTCTCTGCAGTGACAGGAGAGGAGCTGACACGTAGCAGGTACTGCATGGACATTTGTTAGAGGAAAAAGAGAACTGTGATCCTGTAGAAAGGCACACGTTGAGTCGGTAAGGGATGTGTATCTTTTATGGGGTGAGTACTAAGGCCGCCATTTATCGCCTCTTCTATCCCAGTCATGTCTGGGATCAGGGGACGCAGTCCAACAGCACAGCAGGGAAGGTTGCCTGGTCCCCTCAGTCTGCCTGGGAAGGTATGTAGTGAGCAAACAAAAGGACGCTAAAGGACAGCGCTGCCTTAGAGCCCAGCTCAGTCAACTTTTGTTCACTGATGAATGAATGTATAAAGCTGACCAGTTCAATTGGATTGCTAAAGAAATAGCCTTGGGCCTTTCCGATAAAGAACAAACACAGTATGCTTCCAATCAAAGTTTTCAACAAGGAAACATAACTTGATGCGCCACCAAGTCAGCATTTTTAAGATTTGCAAATACATCACAGAATGCAAGAGTTAGAAGGCGCAGTGTTTCCAGGTTGTAGGGGCATCAGGCCTGTCCTCTAAACTCCCAACACAGCCGCTCTGTCACTTCACAGCCTGACTCAACAGCGGATGGGAAGCTGTGACGCCTGCACCTAGGCTACTGTGCCGGCAACGCAGAACTCACAGTGCTACATGGACTTGAAGAGTGCACAAAGCACACGCACTATCTCTCCTGTAAGAAGAGGCGATGCAAATTGAAAAACAGTGAGCGACTTGGGATCCACCATGAATTTCAATGGAAGCTAGTGGAGTGTCTGTAGTTTGTCTTCCAAGCAGCCTTGACATACAGAATTCCTGGAACCAAGCTACCTCGATTCAGTATGACAGCTCTACGGCAATAAAGCAGGATCCTAAAAATAACGCATGCATAATGCATCTCCCGTGGTGGGCAGGAGAAGTGCAGTGCTGCCGTGCGGCTGAAACGGCGCCCCCGAAGATTCATTCACATTATTCTGCAGGCCACAAGGGCGGCTTGGACAAAACCACTAAATCGAAGGCTGTGGAAGGCTGCTGCCTTTGCTTTGCATCTGTGCTTGAATTGCACATGGATGTGGTCTTCTTTGTGTCCTGCATAAATGCTTTAAAATATATATGTATATTTCTTAAATTATCCAGATGTATCAGCACCGGCACACAGTGGCTGGTGATTTTCACAATAATCTGAAACACCTGCAGGGCTAGTTTGGCAAAATAAGAAAAAAGTTAAATCCTGTTTTCATACATTGATTGTTTGTTTATAGGATGCTCTGCTGGGTCAAGCCAGATCACCACAGAAATCTATGAATAACCTAGATTATTCCTGCAGAAACTCATTATCAAATTATCCTGCAGCATAATGCCAAAAGACCATATTGATGGTTCTCGTAAGTCGTTTCAACCTTATTATTCACATTATAAAGAGACTTCTACAGCTAATTTCCGTTACCTCCACAATAACCTCTTGATGAGATCTCCAAGGAGATATACCAGACTGGATTTAGGACTAAAGATGGTAGTACTTGTCCTGAGTATTGGAAGCCGCAGACAAATATAGATTTACTATTTAGAGCCCACAAGACAAGCCAAGAATGCATTCCTGCAGTCATTCAAAGTATTTATTGAGTAGCTACTATGTGTCAGATTCTCCATGAGCATCCACAGACGCAGCAACAGGGAAAGAGGAAATGGTTGAGTCTCCAGACTCAGATACTAGTGGCAAGAAATGAACATTGTGTAATAAAAAAACAGAATGAACCAGAAATAGATTCTGGATAACTAATTGGGCTCCATTATACCCTTAAATATGTCTAAGAGACTCAAATGAATCCAAATTGAACTAAGAAAATAGGAAAGGGCTTAGAAGGAAAATACACATTTCTATGGAGAGCAGAAGAAAGATACAGGTCAGGAAAATAGTAGAACTACGTGGATGGAGAGAGAGAAGAAGAATCCAAGGTCTTCTCTATCATGACCAGAGCTGGCCTGCTGATACACTTCGCACTGTTCTAACAGTCTACATACACAGATATTTAAAGCTTAAAGCTCAGCTTTGACTAACATTTGGTGAAATGTTAGAGGGGATTTGTCACACTTGTCCTAATCGTGGTGAACCACTTGTGACTTTGAGACTTCACACCTGTGAACCAGAAGCACTCAGACATGAAGCAGCCTAAGAAATGCCACATAGTACCAAGAGCTGACACTTCAAGAAGTATCCATTCTCTCTGAATTCCCTGGCTTGCTGAGTGGTCCTTCCTACACCCACACTCTGCCATCCACCATCTACCAGGGGGCTCTTTGTCCCACTCTGTAATCTGTCGTTTGGATTTTCAGCTAACTGTAAGCTTAAATAAACAAGAAGTCCCCATTCTAAAACTGAGTTAGTAATAGTCCCAGAGTCATTAGAAATGCAAGTTGGTTCTTGGCCACTCCGGGGACTTTAATATGTTCCCGACTCCCTGGAAACCTCACAGAGAAGCAAGGGTTACAGTTACAAGGCAGAAGCATCTTCTGAGTTCACAATCTCTTTGGGGTCCGTTTTAGTCTCGTGTGTTAGCCTGGATTCATCGATGTGACTTCTGGGACCATTCTACACTCCAACACAAGCCCATGACTCACTGTACTTTGGATTTAAACCGTGGAACAGCCTCAACAGTCAGAGAAAATCCGTACTATGACAGAGAAGTATGGCCGTAGACCAAGAGTTTCACTTGTGACAGCAGTCAGCACTTACCTACCCCGGAATTTGTCAACAAAACTTCTGTAGCCCAGCAAAGAGCGTCTCAGAAATGAGGCTCAGGAAATGTGCAGTCAAGCGCTTGAAGAAACTGCCTGCCCGGGGCATAGACATATTGAACATTTCACCTTTTTTGGGCTAATTTTTTAGATTTGTTTAACAAAGGAGTGAAACCTATTATTATATGAAAAAAAAAAGAAAAAAAAGCAAGTATCTCAATGTCACGTGTTCTGGCTCTGAGCCTCTGAAGAGTGCATCTGCTTAAGAAAGATAATCCACTTCCTCCTTACTTTTAAAAACTTGGCAAGAACGCAAGCTGGTCCCCTGGTAGCTTATACTAGCATGCCTGACCGTCAGCAAGTTCTATGCCTCCACCAGGCTTCTTCATCATGCAAATTACCATTGGTGTTAATTAGATTTAATAAGCCGCCGGGAAGTGCAGCAAGGGACCATGGAGAGCATTGTAAGCTTACTCTTGCGTGTCCAGCACAGCATTTCCCTGGAACTCTCATATCCTCCCCGGCTGGGAAAAATAAAGACTGCCAAGTGCATGGAAAGACACGCTGCTGCTGCTGCTGGAACTGCTTCTGCTGAGATCCAAATGGGAGACGTGGGTGGAGAAAAGGCATTTCAAAAAAGAAAGAACGAACCCGAATGTGCAACAGCTGCAAATAACGAAGCGCGCTCATCTGTTACCTTGGATGAACTCCGATTTCCTGCTCACGGACGGCAGGGTCCTGTTGAGGCCCAGGATCCTGTCCAGGTGGAAGGCAAACACCTCACTCATGTCCAGGGGCTGCTTGAGCAGCCCGCAGGGGCTAGGGCCACAGCGGGGTGCAGCGCCAGAGGCACCCCCCTCCAGCACCAGCAAGAGGGCCCCACGCCCGGAGAAGTCGTGTTGGAATCCCGCCACCGCACCGTCTGCCAAGAGCCGCATTCTCCGGATGTCATCTTTGCTCAGCCACGAGGGGGCGCGCTCGCTGTAGATCCTGATGTTGCTCTCCTGGACCTTGGGCAACTGCACACCCCGCACCCGTCTCCATGGTCGCTCTCCAAGGTTGGCCAGGTAGCCTCCCTGAGCATACCCTGGCATTTCTGCATCAGCTGCCCTGGCAGGTTCCGGTTGAAGAGATGGTCCAGCCAAGGCCTCCTGGGCGGGGACCGCAGATGCCACCACATACTTCTTCCTGCGCTTGGGTTTCACCGTGCCACGGATGTTGGCAGGCTTGCTGCGCTTGGAGCGTAGGGTAATGTACACCACGTTGGGCTGCAGGGTGGTCCCGTTGCCCTGGGACTCCGGAGGGGCCAGGGTGCCATCCAGGGGTATCTCAGCGAGTGAGGCCTCCGCTGCGTCACGGCTGTGCTGTGGCCCCTTTGCGGCCACCTGTCCGTGCTGCAGAGAGGCCCGTCCCACCTGACTCACCAGGAAACCCAGGTAGATGGCACAGGCGGTGCCCAGCAGGAGGTTCCTCCTGGTCCTCGGACGCCGGCTGCTCCAGAGCTTGCGTGCCCGCACCACGCACAGCGAGCAGAGGAGCCAGTTTATGAGTCGCCCGGGCTCGTCCGGACAGGTCATTTCTTGGCCGCTTGCACATGTTGAGCGGAGCTCAGCGTCTGCCCCTGGCCCCTGCCGGCGTGATGCATGGTCTCCTGGATTCAGCCCGCCTGTGTGCCTGAGTGGTCTCCAGTGGGCAGCGGTGGAAGGGAAGCGCCGGTGATAGAGGTGGGAATTTTTTTTTTTTTTTTTTGACACCACAACAAACGTTTTAAACTCCTATCAGCCTCCCCGAGGAGAACTGTGGCGACTTGTGGGAATGAATGGAAACAGAGTTCACTGAGTCACACAGTCTCAGCCCACTTCAATTCCTATACAAGAGGAGAGAGTAACCCTTTCCTTACAAAAGTCAACAGGGGAGGAGGGCCGGGAGCTGCTGCCAAGACAGACTCGTTTTAAAGCAGTGAAAACAAGCCACAAAAATCCAAGAACATTTTCTGACTTGTAGTGAGAGCCATTTCATTTGACTCTGAAGCAAAGCCAGGTGACAAACCTGACTGTTCGTGAAATTCGGAAATAAGACAAATGACAGACAGTGATGCAGAATCGACACTATCCCACGGCCGTTTGTAAGAGTCCTTCATTAACTGATGGACCAGAAGCACCGAGTGTTAATACTCAAACTGCACACATATATTTTCTTTATGTAATGGCCAAAAAAAAAGTTTCTCCACCATGTGTTCCGTTAGCTCACCTTACACGTTAGTATAAATGTGAAGAATGTTCATATATCTTAGAAGCAATGACACTCACACAAACACAAATCCAGACGCTTTGTATTCTTTTTCTTTCGACCCAAGTCAGCTGAAAGAAATTTAAAAAAAAAAAAAAGCTCAATCTGTAGTTGCAGGGTTTTTTTTTTCACATTATTAAAAACAAGAAACTCGTAAGCAAGCCTACTTACACAGCTGGCCCCGCGCTTGGCTCCAGGGAGAATGTAACCCCTGCCTCTGATGCAAAGAGCTTTTAAAGATTGAGAACATATTTCATGGTCAAGTGTGTTCCTCATTTCAAACACTTCCGCTCAGCTTTCAAAGCTCCCTTGAAAACCACTGATTTCCGGGCAGAAGAGTTACCTGCGAACGGGCCGCTGCACCGCTTTAGCATGTATAACTCGAAAGAGTTAGAAACCAACTTTAGTTTTTTAAATGATGAAAAAAAAAACAAATGCCGTAGAGTTTTCATTCAAGGCACTTCCCGCTGATTTTTAACCCCTGGGTGCCCCCTAGCGTCCTGTCTTGCAAATACACTCAGATGTCAGCGGCGGGGTGGGGTGGAGGGGGGAGTCACAAAGGGTTGAGTGTTTGCTTAGCTTGGTGCAGCTGTAGAATGAGGATGCCCAGGAGCTGCCCCTTACCTTGCCATCCTGGCCCTGCACAGGGCAGCACTTGTCTCCCACCAGTTCTAGAAAGAACAGGCCTGGGGTTTCAGAAAGGTTAGAAAAGAGTTCATGAAAAATGCGACAGAAAAAATGGAACGGTGAGATAAGAACGCGCATAGGGAGGGAGACATTTACAGTGTGCCCTCGCAGGTACAGCGCAACAGTTCACACAAGTTGTGGAGTCATCCGATTGGAGGTTGGCTTAAAAAAAAAAAAACAAAAAACAACCAGCCTAGTGATTGGCCTAGGTGCTTGGCAGGTCCTGGCACCAAGGCGGGCACTGATGACCTTGGCGTCTCACTGCCAAAGCACACAGTAAGAAGGGAAGAGGACTTTGTGCAAGTGTAGGGACTTTAATCCTCAGAGTACTGCATCTCCACCAGCTGCTGCCGTGCCAGCAGCCATGCCATGCTGTGTGCACTTCTGAACTCAAATCTCTCTCCTTCCACAGCGCCACGAGATGCAGGAATCAGAAGGAGCGAGCGACCTCCTCAGAGTTCTTCTCAGCTTTCTCTGATGGGGACTCGGGAAGACCCGACACTTTGCTAGCCACAGCTTGATATTTGTTTATGTTCTCCGGTCACTGGCCGCCATATACAGACAAGTGCGGACACCCGCACGCAGTAAGTAACTAAAATGCTAGCCTCTGTATAATCACCAAAATGTTTCCATTTTTCTTCAGATAAAAGCATCCTTGCCTCCAGAGGTGAGCAGCCGCCCATGAAACACACCCAGACACTTGATGTAAAGGAGGAAGGGGCTACATCCGGACTCTTTTTTCTTGACTGGAGATTCTGCTCCTCAGCCCCTCCCCACGCCCAGCTGAGCCTGGCTGTACTTGCTCGCTGTGAGTTAAAAGGGAGTGAGAGACCAGAAACAACGGAGGGGGCTTTTTAAAGATTTTATTTGTTTATGTATTATTTTTTGAAAGGAAGATTTACAGAGATGAGAGAGAGAGGGAAAGATCTTTCATCCGCTGGTTCACCCCCTCCAGTGGCTACAATGGCCAGAGCTGATCCCATCCAAAGCCAGGAGCCAGGAGCTTCCGCTGGCTCTCCCTCCAGCAGGCAGGGCCCCAAGGCTTTGGGCCATCCTCCACTTGTAGCGTTCCCAGGCCACAAGCCTGGAGCTGGATGGGAAGTGGGTGCCCACCAGGGATGCTGCCGCTCGCAGGCGTTGGAATAGCCAGGTGAGCTATTGTGCCAGCCTCAGCAATGTTCTTGATTATGAGTTGACTCCGAAGCTCGCCTGGCAGGCAGGTGTAGGGGTCTGAACCTCCAATGGGCATTTTGTGGGTGATTTTGAGACCACCACGAAAGCACCTCTCTGGTCACTGTCGCTGTCCCCTCAGGCCCGGGGGATGTTGGAACCTTGTGTCAGCAGTGACAGACAGCAGGCTGTCTACTCTCTTGGCCCTATGCATATCACCTACAAGGGCTCCCATGGACCGCAGTCACCATCCTTTGTCGCTGCAACCTCAGGCTGCCCTAGGCGGCCATCACCTTCTGGTGCCATGGCAGCCCTGTTCCCCATTTTGGAGGGATGAGGACTCAGGTGGCTGGTGCCACCTATTGTCCAGGTTTTCTGTTAAAGCTGAATAGAGGGCCCGGCGCGGTGGCGCAAGTGGTTAAAGGTCCTCGCCTTGCACGCCCGGGATCCCATATGGGTGCCGGTTCTAATCCCGGCAGCCCCGCTTCCCTTCCAGCTCCCTGCCTGTGGCCCGGGAAAGCAGTCGAGGACGGCCCAAAGCTTTGGGAACCTGCACCCGCGTGGGAGGCCCGCAAGAGGCTCCTGGCTTCGGATCGGCATAGTATCGACCCGTTGCGCTCACTTGGGGAGTGAATCATCGGACGGAGGATCTTCCTCTCTGTCTCTCCTCTCTGTATATCCGCCTTTCCAATGAAAAAATAATAAAAATAAATCTTTAAAAAAAAAAAAAAGCTGAATAGAAAGACACTTTGTGCCCTTGGTTGTCATGGTGCTCAAGGGAAGCGGAATTCAGTTTTTAGAAAAATTGCTAAATTCCTTGAATGAATGATGATTTGAACACTTTTTTTTGCTGCAGTGTTACAAATAATGACCAGAGAATGATTTGATTTGAATTTAAAACATTATTATCACTATTACTGGGACAGACATACTAACAGGCCTCATGCCTGTCACATTTCCTCTGCATAAACATAAAAAAGCTGAGAAAAGCAGTGGAAACAAAACAGTATGCCACGGGAGCCAGCACTGTAGCATGGTGGCACCAGCATCCCTTAGCTGTGCCACATCCGGCTCCCTGCAGGCAGCCAGAGAAAGCAGCGAGATGGCCCAAATGCTTCCTGTCTGCGCCTCTCGTTTCCGCTCCCTGCTCCCCCTTCCCACCGCTTCGGAAATGTTGACTTTTAAATAAATAAATCCTTTTTTACATTGCCATAGCTACAGTAGAATTACCTAGGACCATTTTTCAGACCTTTGTGGAGCAGGGAAAAATGAATGATGGAGAAGCAGCAGTGTGGAACGGTTCTTTGGAGGTGCTTCATTGGCCGTGCAGTTCCATAAATTCCTTACAATCCAATGAAGCACAAAGATGCAAAGTCTTCGTTTTTTAATTGTGTAGGCCTTATACGCGCCCCACATCTGTACGGACAGTGAGGGTTATGGTGTGTTTGACGTTTTTCACTTACAATGAAGTCAAACCTCAGAGCATCGCCCCAGCCCTGCTGAAGCAGGAACTCGGGCAAAGGACTCTGCAGTCTGAGCTGGAACAAGCGCCTCCTGGTGGCCAAAAGCGTGAGAACCGTTGCTCTAGATGAGAAACAAAAGTGGGTGGGCGAGTCTGGAAGATGACAGAAGATGAAAGATAGCGGTGAGAAGCCTACCTGCAGTTTGTCTGACACCCCCCCCCCTTCCAGAGAGTTCCACTCCTTCCTGACAATCTGCATTGTCACACACGCAGCCCGGACACCGTGCTCACCTCCGCTTTCTCAAAGCAAAGTCACAGGATGTAAGGTCTAGGAATAGAAGGAACCACCGTGCCTACGCGGTACGGTGAAAACCAGGAGAACTTACAGCTTTCCGTGGAGGGGTTGGCTAAAGAAAATAACTAGGATGACTCAGTTCCCCACAGGCCAACGCCCACAAGGATGCCTTTTAAGGTAAAATCTCACTGTTTTCCAAAAGGCAGTCACAGGGTCCCAAGGTCATGTAGCCGGTAGCGTAGCCAAAAATTATAAGCCTAGAAGCTTTTGGTTGGGAGCCTGGAATGATACAAGGGAATATAACACAGAAAAGAAAATTCAATATTTTTAAAGGAATGAGCATGTCCTTTCTCTAAATATAAAACACCCCAACTATTTTTTCAGGGAAATGACCAGTGCTTGAGCTAAGAATGCACATTCTATTGCTGTCCTTGGGCAGGGTGAAGCCACTCTGGGCTAAGGAAGTCACAGCCCCATGCTTTATTTTCACACCAACTGCCTGTTAAAAACACACAAGAAGGGGCCAGCTTTATGGAGCGGCAGGTAAAGCTGTTGTCTGCAAGACCAGCAGCCCATGTGGGCGCCGGTTCAAGTCCCTGCTGCACCACTTCTAACTCCTACCGATGGGCTAGGAAAAGCAACAGAGGATGCCCCCAAGTGTTTAGCCCCCTGAT